TGCCACAATACCCAGCTATTTTTTTGTTGTAGTTGTCATTGTTGTTTAGCTGGCCTGGGCCAGGCTTGAACCTGCCAGCCTTGGGGCATGTGGCTGACGCCATTGCCACTGTGCTATGGGTGCCAAGCAAGGAGAAATAATCTTTATCTGCAGAAGACAAACGCGAAAGCCTCACATGTAGACTAAGCACATGATTATCCCATGGTGTCAGTGTATAAATTAAGAGCTATAGGACAAGAATGTATGGCATATAAAAGTGTAAGTAATCTCAAAAAAAGGCATCTGATATATTTCTGTGATTTAAAAGTGAATACTACTGTACAATCGGACAATGAGCTGAAGGAAAATAGTGATTCAGAGTTTATAGATAAAACCTTGGTAAACATAAACAGACGTTTTAAGTAAATATCTCCTTTGTCCTTGAATTTGCAATTCTAAGAATTATGATATTGTGCAATATTTATGAAATATGCTGTTTGCATATATTTTAACAATTGTAGAAGACAAAGAGACATATGTTAGCAGGTCAGAAATTAGTTCCAAACTTGTAATATATTCACAAATATATTTTAATGGATGTAAAATTGTGAAATAAGTATTTTAAAAAGGAAGGATGTAAAAACTGGTTACAAAAATACAGTGGCTTGGAATTAAATGGAATTGAATGTACTTATAAAGATAGAAAAGTATTTACAAATATATTTTAAAGTGAATAGATGTGAAAATTATGGTTTCAGTAATTCATATTTCTTGACCTCCAGCTTAAATATCTTACTGGCAGATTCCTATGGAAAGCAAAAATTGCCACTAGCAGCAATACAGATACTCACCTGCTTGCGAGTTAAGGCAAGAAGGAGATGCCAGCTAAGGGTCTGGTCAGCATGGCAGGTAATGACACAAGCATGGAGGGTTATACCTTCCTGGTATGACTTTATTTGCTAGCAGACTCTTGTTTCAAATGGAAAAATAAAATATTCAATGTTAAATACAGGGATATATAAAATTTAAATAAATAAAATCTGTGGCAAAGATGTTTCAAGATGAAACCCAGATAGGAAGGAAGCTAGGTTTGAATGTGTGGGACAATGAATTAGAGATGTATGTATTTATACCATGATATTTCTTACACCTTTATTATAAATTTAGGATTGTGTTACTTTTGGTAGCTATCCGGAGTAGGGGGGGCGGAGGACAACAGTCTCTGATTTGAACAAACTTGCTTTCTCAGAGGAAGTGCCAAAATAGAGGTAACAGTTGCTTGCCATGGGAGCACACATACAGAGCAGCCAGCGCTGACCGTAGAGTCTTAGGAGCCTTTCTAGATGTGACCCTCAGACTGAAGATCAAGAATAAGCAGTTGTGCACATACACAGTGCATGGAAAGCATAGATAGTATTCTTAATTTCATTTTGACTTGATATTAACAAGGTGTTGAAGACTGTATGTACTTAACAGACTTAAAGTATAAAATAAATATGCTTTTTTTTCTAGCTTTATATCTTCAGACCAAATATGGCAAATATCGATAGACTGTGCATTAAAACGCTCTGTATGATGTACAGCAGTGGATACTAAGTAGAAATTACAAACTAACAGAGGAAAATCCAAAGAGTCAGAGGAGTGATTCAACAATGTGGAAGTTGCATTTTAAAACAAAACAAAACAACTTAAACACAAGCTTGGCCATGTGTTTTGGCAAAACACAAAATACAAGCTGCAAATGGATCCACCAAACCTGTGTACAGAGCCCAGATTAGTTGTTACATATTTACACTTTATCAAGGATCAAAGCTAGGAACTATATTAAACTATTAGTACATTAAAATATTCACATTAAAATACAGAATAAAGCTTAGATATAAAGGATATTAAAAGTTTGTGGAATCACAATGAATTGTGGGTCTAATCTAGTAACATGGAAAAAATCATGCTTGGGTACTGATTACAAATGTGAAAAACAAAAAAGGAAATTTGAATGGCAGAACAACTTCTTAAGATATATTTAAAATTCTATCACAAACTATCAAAACAATAAAATAAATAATTGGACAGTGAAACCCAATTATTGGCAATATCAATACAAAAGATAGTGAATTCAATACATGTGAAATACTTTGCCATCTCCAGTAGTCAACTGTTTACTGCTATCTGGCTTTGATATCACTTTATTCAAGTAAAATAATCTCTAAATTTTACAACAAGGTTAAATAAATTTCAATAGTCAGAGATGAAAAATCACACAATAACAAACTTTATCCTGTTAGGACTGACAGAAGATCCTCGATTTCAGGTTCCAGTTTTTGTTTTTTTCTTTCTCACTTATATGTTGAGTATTACTGGGAATCTGACCATCATATCCCTCACTTTACTGGATTCTCACCTTAAAACACCCATGTACTTTTTCCTACAAAATTTTGCCCTATTAGAAATTTCATTTACATCTGCTTGCATTCCCAGATATTTGTACAACATAGCAACAGGTGATAGGTCAATTACTTATACTTTTTGTGTTGTTCAAGTGTTTTTTACTGATGTCTCTGGAGTAACAGAATTTTTTCTTCTGGCCATCATGTCCTACGATCGCTATGTGGCTATCTGCAAACCCCTGCATTATGTGACCATCATGAACAGCAGAGACTGCAGAAGCCTTGTCATCTGCTGTTGGATGGGTGGATTGTTCATTATACTCCCACCATTTACCCAGTTCCTAAATCTGAAATTCTGTGACTCAAACGTAATTGATTATTATTTCTGTGATGCATCTCCTATCCTGAAGATTTCATGCTCAGACACATGGCTCATACAACAATTGGTGATTGTGAGTGCTGTGCTAACCTTCATTCTGACCCTTCTGTGTGTGGTTTTGTCCTACATCTACATTATAAAGACCATTGTAAGATTCCCTTCTGCTCAACAAAGGAAAAGGGCTTTTTCCACCTGCTCTTCCCACATGATTGTGGTCTCCATCACCTACGGAAGCTGTATCTTCATCTATATCAATCCTTCAGCAAAAGAATCAGTGGCTATTAACAAGGGTGTGACAGTGCTAATGACGTCCATTGCTCCCGTACTGAACCCATTCATTTACAGTCTGAGAAACAAACAAGTGAGACAAGCATTCAGTGACTCACTCAAAAAAATCTTACTGGTTTTCAAGAAGTAAGAGAATGTTCAAGTCTAGAAGTAAAATGCCAAGATGAGCATAAACCATAAAGCATCAGATCTTTGAGATTTCATCTCCACCCAGGATAACGCTTTCAAACATTTGAAACAAATACTCTCTACCACATAAGTTCACACCTTTACTTCTCCCTGTGAACAAACCTCTTCCATGATAAAATTACAATTAGATGGCATGCTAATTTTTTTTAGTAAAATGTAAGCCTAATTTTATTTCTAAACTAGCAAAAAAAAAAAATAAAAATAAAACAAATGCAAATCAAGCAAGGAAACAAAAAGCTTATCTTAAATTTTCCTGGACTTGCAAGAAAATAATTGATTTAAAGTTCTCATTGCCTCTTCTGGTCTTAATGTTGCTGAATATTTTAATTTATTATATTAAAATTACTGAGTTCCAAGTTCTTAGCAGGTAAAGTTTCAGGCAAAGAAATTCAGTAATATCAAAAAAAAAAAGAAATTCTGTAATATCTTCAAACTTATTTAGCTCTCTAATAATCTTATGTAACTAAATTTTTTCAAAGCAGCATTATCAATAAGTAACATGATATAATTGAAGAGTAAAAAAACAAAAAATAAATATATGTCCTATGAATGAGTTTTAAACAGAAGCCATATGTGGTATTTGGGATACTGAAGTTTGTTCATACCCATTTACATAAACATGTAAAATGCTGATATTTTAAAATGAAAAGATCCACAGATTATACAGACAAAAGAATAACTTAAACCTGAGAAAAAGCTCTTTTCTAAAAGAATAAGAAATTTTCCCTACAATGTCTAAATCCTAGTTGCAGTTTAGAAATTAAGTTATTAAGAATGGGGAAAACATCCCATTCCTAAAGTAGAATAAGAATATCTTAGCTCAAAATGTAGATAAATTAAGCAATACTATTTTTTTTGGTAGAAAAGGGGGTTCACTATATTTTCCAGATGGTCCAAAACTCCTAGCCTCTAGTGATCCTCTCACCGTGGACTCCCAAATTGCTAGCATTATAGTCATGAGCCACCACACCAGGCCAATAAATTTTTGTATATCACTGAAACTCACAATGTGAACTGAAATCAAGGAAACTAAACCAGCAATATACATAGATGCTTGAGAGAATTTAAAAGGAAGTCAAAGTTAAAAGTTTCAATTAAAGGAGTAATTAAATTTTTCATGAGATGAGATAGATTAGAACACAAGATAGTCATAAATTTTTCTCAAAAGGCTATACAATTACTAATACATTTTGAGGTTGATAAGTTTTCTCTCATGTTTCTGGGATGCAGGACTTTCTCCTGAAATCTCCAGGATTTTACCCTTGCTTCTGTCTCTGTAAAAAATACTCCTCTCCTCATTTAGTCATCTGATTTCTAGTCTTCATTTACATCTCAATTTAAATGTCATTTCTACTTAAATACTGTTTGTTTCTTCCCTCTTCCACCACACAGCACACAGACCATGCCTAAAGAAATTGTCTGTCCTATATGCTGTTTTATCCAAAGTTTTCTCTTCTATAACATCAATCACACTAAAATTTCATCTGTATTACCTGTCATGAAGGGAAATACTTTATTTTTTAGCACACTTAACTATATAAAAAAAGAAAAACCTCCCAGAGCTGTACCTGTGGCTCAAAGGAGTAGGGCACAGGCCCCATATACCAGAGGTGGCAGGTTCAAACCCAGCCCCAGCCAAAAACTGCAAAAAAAAAA